ATGAAGTAGTCAGCTGGATTAGAGACCATAATGGCTTCCCTACGATATGGATTTAGAGTCCATTGAAAGACATGGGTAAAATGTCATTACATACTGAAGTTTTGTGATGCGTACTATTTTATAATTGTGTATATGTTGGAATTTTTCCCCTAGGTATGAAATTAATTTTTTTCTTTAAAGTAGCAATGAAGAGATCACTGACCTTGGCAATTGCAGACTCTCTGGAGTGGAAGAAACAGAAGCCTGATTTCAGTGAAAGGGGATAAGAAAGGAGAGAAATCAAGTGTGTTTTCATACCTGATACATAATATACTAACATCTCATTTAGCAATCACTGAGCACGTATACCCCAAGTATCCCTGAGAAAAGAGCACATTGTGTGTACAGGCATTAATTACCTTCACAATCCCTTGGTGCCTCCCACACCAGTGTCAGCTGGGACCACTGTCAGCTAGCAGTAAGCCAAGAGTCCTTCCTCAAAAGGAGGAAAACTGCTTCCTCGGAGCACCAGGCTTCACTCCTAAATCATAGACACTCCACTGTGATTCTCCTATCAGAGTTTGCCATGGGTTCAAATACCATCCCATCTGCTGCAGACACTTGAACCACCTTGGGATAGCTGGGCTACCAGGGCCATGTGGGAGAACTGCTTGCCATTCATTCTGGACCACCTGGAAACCTTCCTTTTCTCTGGGCCCCACTCCAACCCGGCAGCCTTATAGGTTACTCAGTAACTTAAAAGGATCAGAGAAACACACCAATACATGTTGCCTCTAAAATACCTAGAAGCCCAAGAAGTGTTGTGCTTATTACCAGCAAGAGGTAGAAAGCCCAGCAAGTTGTCTTTCACTTTGCAGGGTCCTTCCCTGCATGATCCAGAACACTGAACATGCAGGAGCTTCACTTGAGTGGCAGGCCCCTATGTTCTCATGGGATTCACTTTCCATCCTCAGACACACTTGTGTCTTACTGATACATCTGAAGTACCCACTGCTTGTCTCTCTCCCAATCCTAGCAACCTAGTATCATCAATATAGTGGACAAATATAATGGCCTGTGATTCAGGAGGATGATCAAAATCCACATAGACAGAAAACCAGAACTTGAAAACTTCAACAGAAAACCAGAGACTGGAGGAGTTTCAAGACAAGATGAGAAAGGTGTACAGCTATCCCTGCCAAGAGAAAGAAAACTGCTAAGGGGACTGTCTATAGAGGACAAGAAAAACAATTTACCAGATAGTTTCACATCAAGTCACAAAAAAATTATCGTTCCCATAAAAAGACCACACCGGGAATAATAGCATCTGCAACTGAACTCGCCACCTGAGTAAGCTTACGGTAAGGCACTGCCATTCTCCAAGACCCGTGCCTTTTGCACAGACCAAATAGATGAGTTAAAGGAAGTGTGACAGAAATCACCGTTGCATCTTTAAAGTCTTTGATGGTGGCACAAGTTCCAGTGATTCCCCAGAGTTTATTATTGACGTATTATTTTGGTAAGAAGGGGGAGTTTGAGGGACTTCCACTTGATCATTTTGCCATAATGACCTTTATTCCACAGGTCTGGGGGCTCATGTGTGAATTCTACCTATAATTCCAATTATATACCATGCAAGTAAAAAATAATAATAATTGCAGAATGGGTTCAGGGTCCCACTGCAATTGTGTCAAAGCTCCGATTATTACCTGACCCATCTGAGCCTCTACATAGCAACTTTCTGTGTCTTCAGGAATTAACATTAAATAGACTTAACATCCCCTAATCCCTGAAACATCTGAGTATTTTCCTTTCACAGAGCACAATTCTCTAGTGAATGGCCCAGGACCTTTTACAGAAGGCTAAAAGAATGACTCACAGTAAGTATCTCTGGTGCTATCGAAAGGGCTTTTCTGAAGGGTACCAGCCTCTCTTTCGTTTGAGGGACTTTGGGTGAGAAGTTGAGATCTCGTGGCTCAAGTCAGGCTTCCACTTGCCAGCTCTGGAGGGTTTGTGTTTGTCTGTTGGTTGTTTTGTTTTGTTGTTTCTGTTATAGAGATTAAGGGGGGCTGGGTATGGTGGCTCATGCCTGTAATCTCAGCACTTTGGGAGGCTGGGGTGGGTGGATCACTTGAGGTTAGGAGTTCAAGACCAGCCCGGCCAACATGGTGAAACCCTGTCTCTACTAATAATACAAAAATTCACTGGACATAGTGGCACATGCCTGTAATCCCAGCTACTTAGGAGACTGAGGCAGGAGAATAGCTTGAACCCAGGAGGTGGAGGTTGCAGTGAGCCGAGATCATGCCATTGCACTCCAGCCTGGGCGACAGAGCAAGACTCCATCTCAAAAAAAACAAAACAAAAAAAATAAACGAGATTAGGAGGACCTTAAGGGCTGCCCATCTGTTTGGTCTCCTTGGTCCAATTTGGCCCTTGATTGATCAGCCTTTGCTGAAGACATCTGTGGTCAGAACATGCTGATTGCCACCTGAGGTCTGATTTCCTAGGCAGTCGAGTGCTGCTTGCCCTCTGCTCCCCTGGGGTTCCATCATTTCCACTGAAATCATGGCCTCCGTTTCTATGACAGCATCTCCCAGCAGTACGCCCCACCTGCAGAGAACAAGTGCTGCATCACACTTCAAAGGCGCTCCCCTCACCATGTGTTTCTGGGTGCCTTGATGAAGGGAGTGTCTTCCAGTTTCTACAAGAGGAAGTTAATCATGTGGAGCTTAGCCAAGGAGAGTGACTGGGTCACATGGGAACAGTCACCTCAACATTCCTCCCTCCTTAGTCTTTGGATTGCATCTTCTATATTAAACAAGGAACTTCTGGCATCTCGATTTCAATTAGCACAGGCCTTGACTGAATCAGGAGTCAGTCAACCACTCCAAGCTAAGCAAATAAAACCACTCCTAGCTGCTCACACCAGCACATTGAATCTAGAATCTCAGGTAAATGTAACTATATTGATAAATTCAGCCCAGTGAAAATCATATTCCTCCCTCCCTAGACTAGCACCCATAGAAAACATTCTCATGTTATCCAGATTTTTGCTGATGTAAGTTAGCAAAATCTTACAGTTCTTTTGATGTGTGCGCTGCCTCCTCCCAGACTTGACTCGGGAATTAGGCAGGCAAGGATCTAACCCATTACGGGGCTGGAGACAATGTGACTTGGACATGAAGAGAACTGGCCTCCCCTTAGATGACAGATGCCCACCATATTTTGCTCCAGAAGCAGAGTCTAGTTGTCGCCCCTTGAATCTGGGCTGGCCTCATGACTAGCTTTAACCAGGATGATGTATTATAAGTGACGTGATGCAACCTGCAGAGCCCAGGCCTCAGATGGTTAGCTCTTGCCTCCATTCTCCCAGAATCCTGAGGTCACCATACCATGAAGAAACCGGGAAGAAGGACATTGTGGACAGATACTCAGCATCAGCCAACGCAACGATCCCAGCTGAGCCCAGCATCCAGTGATTGCAGTCATCTGAGCAAACCCAGACAATTAAGTCGCTACATGTGGAGTGGCCTGTTACTCAGCAATAAATAACTAAAACACTGCAGGGTAACTTCCAAGACAAGGTCGTTGCAAGGTCTTCAGGCGGGGGCAGGAGCCTCCGCTGGTGGAGGAGCAGGGACTGCTTCTGCCGCAAGGAGGTGCTGTGGAGTAGGGGCTGGTGAGGCCTCTAAATTGCCCAACTCTTTCCATATGACCACTGTTTCATCCTCATGGAGGTCAGTGCCCTAAGTTTCACCTGAGACAAAGCAGTACTGTTAATTCCATTGAGAAATTGACAATGTAGTTTGGCAACGGGCAGCATCAAGTTCATGCTTTAGGAAGTCAGAAGGCCGGGCGTGGTGGCTCACCCCTGTAATCCCAGCACTTTGGGAGGCCAATGTGGGCGGATCACCAGGTCAAGAGATCAAGACCATCCTGGCCAACACCGTAAAACTCTGTCTCTACTAAAAATACAAAAATTAGCTGGGCATGGTGATGCATGCCTGTAGTCCCAACTACTCGGGAGGCTGAGGCAAGAGACTCATTTGAACCTGGAAGTAAGCCAAGATTGCGCCACTGCACTCCAGCCTGGTGACAGAGCGAAACTCTGTCTCAAAAAAACAAAAAAAAGAAGAAGTCAGAAAATATGGCTCAGCGCACCCTCCTCTCCTGAGTCTCCCTGCTGAGCTTTTGACCTCTGCTTATACCAAGAGTGGGTAAATGGAGAAATGACATGGAAAGAAAGAAAGGAAAAGAGCTGTCCACTTCTCAGCGTGCGTCTTTTAAATACAAAGCCACTTCCTTATTCTTGCTGGAGCAGCCAGGTGGGTCAGCCTGAACTGGATGCCCCTGAGGGATGGGGCGCTGGAGACCATGTGGTGGAGCTGAGCAGACTGAGAAAAGTCACACTGAAAACACGGAAGAAAGATGGTAGCAAGATGCATGAAGGATGGTGTGTCTCCAGGTCACCTGGAGGGATACTGCTGTGCGTGCTGCCACACTTCTGACTAGGGGCCTGGAAGGTTCCCTGGGGGTGGTAGTACCCTTTGAAATAGGCCTTCAAGGATGTGGAGGACTCAACAGGCAGAGATGGGAGAGGCCTGGGACCAGGCAGAGACAGCATGGGCAAACAGGAAAGGGAGATGTGAGAATTGAGAGGGGCTGCAGAGGGAGCAGGAGTGGCAGGACAGAGGACTGGGAAACTGGGAGGGGTTGAGTGGTGAGCGCCATCTGCCCTGCCTCTAAGAACAGTCCCAGACCCACTGTGTGCCTTATCATGTAACAGTTCCATCCTCCACCTCCTACTTCCACCCTCCTCACCAGCCCCTTCCCTATGTTCCAGGGTCACCCTGCCCATCCCAACTGCTGCACCTCTGTTTCAGCTGTTCCTCACATCTGGAATGCCTCTTTTCCTCTTGCCATCCAGCTCTAGCCCCTTCTTCCAGAAGTCTCCCCTGATACTTCAGCCCTGCCTGAACCCAAGGCACTGTGACATCATGGAAAGGATCAGACTTGTCACAGCTGCAGAGAGGTGGGCTCAAATCCCAGCTCTGCTGTATGATCTTGAGTCACTACCTTCACTTATTAGTATCTATTAATAATATTTATTGGCTGTGTGTTTGCCAAGTACCATGGATGGATTACCTCATTTAACTTTCACCACAAGCTTATGAGGTAAGTACTGTTATCATTTCCACCTTACTGCTGAGGAAACTGAAGATCAGAGAAGGTAAGTAATTGACCCAAAGTCACACAGCTAGGGAGTGGCAGAGCTGGGACACCCGTCAGGTCTGTCAGGCTCCAACACCTCTGCTGCTAAACACCACAGTTCCCTCTGGACTGCTTCCTTAGAATGAGCATTTATTAGGCACCTCCTGTGTGCCGGGCGTTGTGCTAGGTGTGGGGATGTAGCAGGACACAGGCAGACGAGGGCATGCTCTCACAGAGGCCACAGCTGGAGTGTCAGGACAACAAGCTCGATGCTGCAGGGGCAAAGATGGGTGACTGCTCCCTGCAAACTGTGGAGTATGGAACTCACACACTTCAGTAACTTCTTCTTCCTCCACAGCCAGGAGACCTGGGTTTCCATGTGGGCCAAGCTCTGCTGTTGGCCTGCTGAGTAGCCTTGAGCTGGCCACTTTACCTCTAAGCCCCAGTCTTCTTGACCATAACATGGGGTAGGAATAGCTATGGAAGTCTGAAAATTAAATGAAATTGGCCAGGCGCGGCGGCTCACGCCTATAATCCCAGCATTTTGGGAGGCCAAGGCAGGTGGATCAAGAGGTCAGGGGTTCGAGATCAGCCTGACCAACATGGCGAAACCCCGTCTCTACTAAAAATACAAAAATTAGCTGGCTATGGTGGTGCACACCTATAATCCCAGCCACTCAGGAGCCTGAGGCCGGAAAATCGCTTGAACCCAGGAGGCAGAGGTTGCAATGAGCCAAGGTCACATCACCGCACTCCAGCCTGGGCAACAGATGACTCTATCAAAAAAAAAAAAGAGAAAGAAAATTAAATGAAATCATACATGGCAGTGCTGGGCACACAGTAGGCACTCAGGAGAAGGCAAATCTGCATCTCTCCACTTGCATCCACATCTGGGACCCACATAATCCAACAGGCTCGTTATTTCGCGAGTCTTTAACAAGCACCAAGGTGAGAATGACAGGGTGATCCCTCCAGCGGCCTCCAGGTGGCAGGAAAGCTCCACACAAGCCAGTGATGGGCCACGGGCCAGCAACACTGGCTGGCCCAACCTCTAGCCCCCACCCCACCCCTAAGTCGCCCACCTCTGCCACCTGCACTGCCGCTCCCACACCAGCAACCCCAGTCCTCACTGACGGGTGTTTGAGATGCAGCAGCACAGACCTCTTATCCCCCGCCTCACCTGAGTCGGGAGGGAGGAGCGTGGCCTGAAGGCCCACTTTGGGTCATCCCCTTGGTGGCCCCCACACCCAGGCCTGGCTTATTTTACTGCCCATTCCCACTTGGTGTGGGAGCTGTCACAGGCTGAACTTCAGGGCCAGGTGACCTGGGTTCCAGGAGGCCTCTCCTGCCCTTCCTGTGCAGTGAAGCAACTACCCACCAATTAGGATCGAGTCCCAGCTCAGCCTGCACCGACTGTGGGGCCTCAGGCAGCTCACTTAACCTCTCAGCCTGTTACCTCACCTGTAAAATGGGATGATCCCTACCTAGCCAAGCTGTTAGGAAGCTTGGATAAAACTGTACCTATCAAGTACTTGTAACACAGGAGGAGCAAAACACAAAGGAGTACCAGCTGGTTTCACTAAAAGCATCATTCTGATCCAGAAATGCCTACTTCCCCTTTAAGACAGCCCACATGCCATCTCCTCCTGGGAGCCTTCCTTTGTCTGCCTAGGCAGTCATGGCTTCCTCCTCTGGACTCCCAAAGCCCTGGAAAAGGCCCTTCTAGAACGGTCCTTTCACTCAGCAAATGTTTTAATGCCTTGCATATGCACGACACTTAATCTAGGTGCAGGACTTATAGAAATAGACAGCCACGGACCCTATCTTCATGGATCTTCCATTCCAGGAGGGGAGGCAGGCAGGGAAGTCATAAGTGGGTCATTTCATAGTGCTACGGCATCAGTAAAGTGAGGAAACATGGTAGAGAAACTGAGATGGGAGAGGGACTGGTTATGTGGGGTAGTCAGGGAAGGCCTCTCTGAGCAGACAACATTTAAGCTGAATCCTGGATAACAAATAGCAACCCTGCAAACATCTGGAACTGCCTGTCAGGCAGAAAGGACAGCTAGTGCAAAGGTCCTGGGGCAGGGGGACAGGCATGACACACCTGGAACACAATGATCCAGGTGCCTGGAACACAGTGAGCACTGAGCACCCGGTCTCTGTCCCTAAGTCTCCACCTCCAGACAACCCACTTGAGGAGAGAGACCTAAATGATTAAGCTGAAGCATACAAAGGCCCTGGGACTCGGCAGTCTTGCTGAAACTTCATCCTGGCAATGACAGGAGTAAATCAGCTGGCCCTTCCGCAAACTTATATATCTCTTGGTGGCTACTGCTGGATTGCTCAGCCAGGTAAGGGTCCCTCCCTGAACCAACAACCCCAGGTCACAATCTTTGGCAGAAGAAAGCTGGAAGTGCCCAGAGAGAAAAATGACCTGCCAAAGGTTAGATGGCAGCAGGCAGCAGAGACAGGGCTCTAGCCCAGTATCCTTTGCTCCTCCACCTCCCTGGCCCCTGGCCCCATCCTGTGCATCCCTCTCCCTCCCTGAGGTATGGTGTCAGGAGCCCTAAGGACCATGAGGCATCCAACCGGAGGACTGTGTTGGGGGCCTCCTCCCCTGCTATAGATCCAACACTTTGGGCCACCTAAGGGCAAGGATCCCCATGAGCTCCTTCCTTCCAAAGTCCAGCCTAAAGTCAGGCAACTTACTAAACGTATGCCTGAGTTTGTACCTGTGGCCTTGGATGTGGCATAAGTTAGCTTGGAATGAAAGGCTAGGGGAGCTAGGCATAGTCCTGGCTCACACCCATAGTCCTCCCTGTAGTCCCAGCTACTCAGGTGGCTGAGGCAGGAGGTTCGCTTGAGCCCAAGAGCCTGAGTCCAGCCTGGGCAACATAGCAAGACCCACCTCTAAAATAAGGGTAAAGAGCCAGGCGTGGTGGCTCACGCTTGTAATCCCAGCACTTTGGGAGGCTGAGGTGGGCAGATCACCTGAGGTCGGGAGTTCAAGACCAGCCTGACCAACATGGAGAAACCCCGTCTCTACTAAAAATACAAAATTAGCCAGGAGGGGTGGCACATGCCTACAGTCCCTGCTGAGGCAGAAGAATCACTTGAACCCGGGAGGCAGGGGTTGCGGTGAGCCAAGATAGCACCATTGCACTCCAGCCTGGGCAATAAGAGCAAAACTTCATCTCAAAAAAAAAAAAAAAGGATAAAGAAATAAAGAAAGGTGAAGGGACTAAAGACTGGCTCCAGCTCCAGTGCTCTCATTCAGGCCCTGTAGCCACTTCTCCAGGGCTGCCAGAGCCAGAATCATTTCCCAGATCAGCATGGAGTGCACCTGCCACTTGGCACTGTCTGCACAGTGATCTGCCAGCATTCCAGGGCCTGATGTGAACCCTCAGTATCGAGCCTGCCTTAACAGGAGACCTTGTCCCCTGGGAAGAATGGTGTGAGAATCTCCTGATCCAATCTTCCACGCTCCAGCAAAATTTCATTGGAAAAGTTTTATTGAAAAAAAATTGTACAAATAAGTTCTTGGTTTGATAGCAACAAAGGCTCATGTTCCCCCTTCCCTCCCCATCTTTGAAGAACTAAAAAATGAAGAAACAAAAACAAAAAGTTCATCCCCACGAAGCTGGACACGATGCTTCTTGACCAGAGTCTGCCCAGAAGCCCCTCCTGTGAGCTCTTTCTCCATCCACCTCACTGGGGCCAGGTCATTCTGGGGGTGTCTGGTCCCAGGGGCTGCAGCACCTAGTTTTATAGTTGGGAGAGGTTGGGATAGAGCTGGGGAGGTGGCTGAGGTGTTTTAGTGTCAGGAGAAGAGGGCTGGCTGAACCACCTAGTTCAATTTGGTCTCACAGGTGAGAAGGTACTTGGCTATAAATATGAACACTGATTGAGGCAGGCTTGATCTGGGACTCTGGGGGCAGGCAGGATGATTACTGGCCAGGTCCCACAGGATGTGGAGTTTCTGGGCTCAGCATCATGGTATCTGGGGCGCACGTCCAAGCGGAGTGAATTCTAGCTGGGAAGGTCCGCTCAGGCACACGGGAACCCTGGTCTGTTTTTCCACCCCCACCCTATGGAGTATCCAAGGCTGGTACTTCACCTCCCCCCAATCCCAATAGCACCCATGTGTCTCAGGAGCCTTCGGCTGCTTCCTGCCATCCTGTGTGCACCCTGAGGCCCTACAACTCGTCTCGCATCTTGTCACCCTTAGGCCGGACCAGGCGCCCAATGAACAGCAGGGAGCTGCTCTGGGTGTCCCGCACCAGGAAGATGAAGGGGTGGTCAGCGTAGAACAGCTTGGGGTTGCGCAGCTCCTCGCGCCCGTAGATGTCTTGGTCAAAGGGGTTGCCATCTGTGTCCAACTCAAAGGCGGTGGCGTGGAACACGCTGGCCAGGTACAGGTCCTTCTTGCCTGACATGCGTGACAAGTCTGCCTTGTTCTTGTCAATGGCCTCGGTCAGGCCCAGCCCAGCCAGGTGTTTCTGTGGAAACAGGGGGGTGTGCCAGGTGAGGCCATGGCATGCCAGGCTCCTCCACCTTTGCAACCTCCACCCCATACCACCCTGACCACTTCCCAGAGAGGAGAGAACCCCTCATTGGCCACCTTCTGTGTGCCATGCATGGTGCTGGGCACTTCAAACCACTCTTTCTCAGTTTTCACTGCAACCCTACAAGGGCTTCTAATTGCCACTTCACAGATGAGGAAGCTGAGACTCAGAAAAACAGCTGAATCCTGGATGACAGGGGTGGGACAACAGCCACTGGAGAAGGGGCTGGGGAAGGATCGGGACCAGGCTGGGGAGGGAGACAATGACCCCTCTCCAGGAACTCCCAGTGTCTACAGCACAAAGAATGTATCCCTGGCACTGCCCAGCTGCAGTGCAGGGACAGGCAGCATGGCACCACCCAGGTGCTTATCTGGAATGCCCACGTCCTGACCCCAGCCCAGAGCCCCTGAGTCTGAATCTCTGGGAGTGGGCACAGATTCCTTCTCACAAACTCCCCAGGTGCTTTCTTAGCATACTCAAATTTGAGAAATACTGATCAAGGACAGCTATGCCCACATCACTCTGGGGCTTAAAACATTTCCAGAGTGACAGGATGCCTGGAATTTGCTTCAAAATAATCGGATGCAGAGGGGAATTGGTAGGTAGAGATGGATCACTATTGGCCATGAGCTGATAATACTTGAAGCCGGGTGATAAGACACTTGAGGGTTATTATACTAATCTACTCTTAGTTTATGTTTCCAATGTTCCACAGTAAAGATAAAACACACACACACACACACACACACACCCCTCCACTGCTCTGCACAGCTCTTGGAAGCCAACCATAAGCTCTTTCACATATGACCTCTGCCTACCTGGCAGCTCCAGCCACATCCCTTGGCATGCCCACCCTCCAGAGGGCCTCAGTGAGCAACTTATATCCTGGATGGCCATCCTGTCTCCCATTAGGGCTCTTTAGAAACCACTTCTTGGCTAGGTGTGGTGGCTTATGCCTATAATCCCAGCACTTTGGGAGGCCAAGGTGGGGGATCACAAGGTCAGGAGTTCGAGACCAGCCTGGCCAACATGGTGAAACCCCATCTCTACTAAAAATACAAAAAAATTTGTTGGGCATAGTGGCAGGCACCTGTAGTCCCAGCTACTCAGGAGGCTAAGGCAAGAGAATCGCTTGAACCCAGAAGGCAGAGGTTGCTGTGAGCCAAGATCATGCCACTGTACTTCAGCCTGGGTTACAGAGTGAGATTCCATCTCAAAAAAAAAAAAGAAACCACTTTCAGGAAGCCTTCCCAAGCCCACAAGATGAGTGGTACCTCACTGGGCCTTCCTGTTACCAGTCTGATGCTGCCTGTCTCTCCCACTTGGCTTGGAGCTCCCTGAGGGCAGGGCCCATGTCCAGGGCTCTCCCTGGCTCTCAGTGGAGGAGAGATGACAGTAAAGGGCTGCAGGCTGAGTGAATGGCAGTGTCCAGGGTCCAGGATTCTGCAGGATAAACTCCACCTCCCTGGCATGGCCTGAGGTCCTAAACCCAGGGGGTCCTGAGACAGGCATTCAAGGTAGGCCCAGCTCTTCCCACCCCGATGACCCTGTACAGGTCATCCGCCTCGAATTTCCCAACTCAATCTACCCCATGGACTGGGGGGTGCTGTCTCCACTGTGGGTTCCAGGAAGACATCAGAGGAACAAGGGGAGAAGGGGATGGGACAACAGCCACTGGAGAAGGGGCTGGGGAAGGATAAGGGCCAGGACCAGGAGGGAGACAGTGACCCCTCTCCAGGATCTCCCAGTGTCTACAGCACAGACCAGTACAAGCTCCATTTGTCCCTGGTTCGGTGCCTAAGCCCCATTTCATCTCCAGCTTTCTCTCTCCAAGCTCTCCAAGCAGCAAGTCTTGCCCGTGAGAACCATCTGTGGCATCCAAGGAAAGAATGACACAACAGTTTCCTGTTTTGAGTAAGTCAAAAATCTCTCTCTTGATCGATAAAAAAGGCCACTATTATGTTTTTACCTTGAGGTCTAATTGCAACTCTGCCACTTATGGGCCTGGGGAACCTTAGGGAGTTACTTACTGTTTCTCTGTGAGCCTCTGCCGACCACCCAGGATAGTTGCGAGGGAGAATCTTGAGCATGTGTGTTAAGTTTCTGGCCACCTTAGAAGACCCATAGCTACCAGTCTTATTATTGCATGATAGATAATCCTCCGGCTTGAACAACCTGTAACTGGGGGCACTTCAGACCTCAGAGGCAGTGCAGTGACCAAGGGTTAGCTCTGGTGCAAGATGTCTGAATTACTAGCTGTGTGACTTTGCACAGGTTACTTAACCTTTTTGAGCCTCAGTTTCCTCATCTCTAAGATGAAATTTCTAGCCCCATCTAATAAAGTTGTTTTGAGGATTAAAAGAATTTAATATATATAAAGTGCTTAGAAGAATGCCTAGCATACAGGAAGTGTTCCATTATATTTAGCTGCTGGTATTATCATCATCTTCCCAAGGGCAGGGCCCAACCTCCTGCCCCAGCTTATCCCATCACAGAGCCCAGCACTGCCTGGACAACCAGGGGGGCTCAGGACAGACCTGCTGAATTGGTGAGTGGGATCTCCCCCTGGTTCCAAGCCCTGCAGGCCCCAGGGCTGGGCCACCCCTTACCTGCAGGTCATGGGTCACCTCCACCACACCCTTGGGCAGGGAGATGGCGACAGCCTTCTTCTGCATCTTCCCCATCCAGATTTTCAGCTGTTCTTTGGTTAGCAGCTTTTCAAGGCGCTCGAGGGGCTCCACGTGGTGGGGCATGAGGATGATGAGGCTGGAGAGCTTGTGGGCCAGGGGCATCTCCACGATTTGCAGCTTTTCCTTCTCATCATCATAGTAGTTGTAGAGGCCTGGGAAAGGAGCGGTGAGGACATTGGGCACCCTGTGTTCAGGGGTGAGTCAGACCCCAAGTACCCTTGGAACCCCACCCACCTTGACACCCTGCTCCTCCCGGCACCTACCTGTCCGGTGCATCATCATGACACCCACAGTATAGGACCGAGTCACCATGAAGCCACGGTTGTCCACCATCTTGTGATGGAATTTCTCATCCCAGTGTGCTGTAGTTGGGGGCAGAACACAGGGTCAGAGACACATGGCCACCCCACCGACACAATTATAGCCCACCCCAGCTGCAGACCCTTGATTTATCCCTGCCACAGGTCTTTGCTCCATTCTTTTGGGCCCAGCTGTAGCCCCCCTTCCCCTGAGTACCCATTCCACAGAGTCCACGTTCCCAGCTTTGGGAAGGATCTTGGCCCCAGGACATGCCATCTGAGGATGAGGCTCCCTACAGTCACCGCCTGGCTGCTCCCACATGGCAGAGAATTAATTCCACCCTAGCTCAGCCACCTCTATGGCCACTCCCAGCTCTGGCAATTGTCAGATATTTTGAAAACATGCTCTGAGCTGGGCTTTCTTCCCTGCCTGGTACCTGAGGGACAGTTGTGCCCTGGGCAGGAAGTGCCCCATGACTACTGTCATTTTTTTTTCTTTTTTTTTGAGACAAGGTCCCACTCCGTGCCCCAGCTGGAGTGCAGTGGTGCAATCATGACGCACTGCAGCCTTGAATTACCAGGCTCCAGCGATCCTCCTACCTCAGCCTCCAGAGTAGCTGGGACTACCAGCATGTGCCACCACACCTGGCTAATTTTTTGTAGAGATGGGGTTTCACCATCTTACCCAGGCAGCTCTTGAATTCCTGCACTCATGTTATTCACCCTCCTTGGCCTCCCAAAGTGCTAGGATTACAAGTGTGAGCCACTAAACTCAGCCCATTCTTCATTTTTTTCTGCAAGTTCTGTCTCCATGACCAGAAAATAACAATAAAAAAATGCCTGAGAGTGGCCTGAATCCTGCCCTTGCTCACAGCCAGACCTGTGTTCCACTCCAAGCTCAGCCACTGACTCTGGGAGACCTCACCTCTCCTAGTTTGGTCTCATTTGTAAAACCAGGGTTACTTCATCCTCACAGCAAACTGTGAGAATAGTACTGTCTATCTATGTAGGTACTCAGAAATATTGATTAACCCCATATCTAGTCTTCAACTGAAGACAGAGGCATCTGCGCCTGAGGCCTGGCTCTGCTTCCTCCTCTCTGAGCCTCAGTTCCCTCACTGTGAAATGAAGGTAACACTGTCTGTGCCCCCAATGTTGCTTTAAGGATTCTGGGTCTTGGCTGGGCACAGTGGCTCACAGCTGTAATTCCAGTGCTTTGAGAGGCCGAGGCCGGCAGATCACTTGAGGCCAGGAGTTTGAGACCAGCCTGGGCAACATGACAAAACTCTGTCACCACTAAAAATACAAAAATTAGCTGGGCATGGTGGTAGGCACCTATAATCCCAGCTACTCAGGAGGCTGAGGCAGGAGAATTGCTTTAACTTGGGAGTCCGAGGCTGTAGTGGGCCATGATTGTGCCACTGTACTCCAGCCTGGGTGACAGAGCAGCTCCATCTCAAAATAAAAATAATTTTTTAGGCCGGGCGCGGTGGCTTACGCCTATAATCCCAGCACTTTGGGAGACCGAGGCAGGTGGATCACGAGGTCAAGAGATTGAGACCATCCTGGTCAACATGGTGAAACACTGTCTCTACTAAAAATATAAAAATTAGCTGGGCATGGTGGTGGTATGTAGTCCCAGCTACTCGGGAGGCTGAGGCAGGAGAATTGCTTGAACCCAGGAGGTGGAGGTTGCGGTGAGCCGAGATCGTGCCATTGCACTCCAGCCTGGGTAACAAGAGCGAAACTCCGTCTCAAAACAAACAAAAAAAACAAACAACAACAACAAAAAATAATAATTTTTAAAAAAAGGATTCAATTTCTTTGTGCAGCTCACTACTGAGGCAAAATGGATTACAAAATTTTATTCATTCCAAGACATACAAGGACACTTGGATGAAATTTGGTCTGAATATATTCCATGGAGTCCCTCTGGGGTCTCGGCTCCCTGAATCATTCCTTTAGATGCTGCCACCTGTCTCTGAATCTAGTTTCCAGTCTGTACCAAAGCTGAGTGACAGTCCTACTCCCTGAGTTGTTACAGCATAAATGAGAGGCAGTGAAGGATGGAGTGCACAGAATGCTGTCCTAAGTCTTGTATGGGGATCCTGGGAGGAAGAGGGGGAGGAGGACCCCTGAGCGCGCCCTGACTCACGCTTGAAGAACATGGCGTTGACAAGCAGGGCGCCGTCCGTGCGCTCCACATCCTGGGTGACCTCGGGCAGCTTGCCGTCGGTGGTCTGTGCGGCCCACTCGTTGATGGACTGCAGCGCACTGCGCTTGTCGCGGAAGTTGATCTTGGAGTGCTCGCAGTTGTAGTGCTGCTTGCTGCTGCGCACAAAGTCATCAGCGAAGCTCACTGAGCTGGGTCCGTACAGGCGGCTGCCCAGCTTCCAGGTCACATTGCGTGCCGTGGAGTTGCTGAGTGAGCGCAGCAGCTCGCCCAGGCCGGCGTGCACCTCCTCATCGCGCAGCTGCTCAGCGCTCAGCACTGCCTTGGCCTGCGACGCCGTGGTTGCCTTGCCACCCAGCGACACGAGTCCCAGCGACGATGCCACCACCACGGGCGACACCAGGATGTTCTCTACCGCCTGGTCCTTGGCCATGGCCTGGTAGAGGCTGAAGGCCAGGCCGGCGCTGCGCTCAGCCAGCGTGGCTGCCTTGGGGCTCAGCTTCTCAGCAGTGCCAGGAGCTGCTGCGGCTGCAGGTTTCTTCACCTCGGCCGCCAGGGCCATCGCCAGGAGGCAAAAAGCGCTGAGAAGCAGGAGGGAGCGCATGGCTGGGAGGTGGTTTGTGTGCACCAAGGTGGACCTGTGAGGGCTGCACAGACAGGGTGGCCTTGAAGCCCATGGCCTTCCTACCCAACAACCACCCCCGGCCCTCTGGCTGCCACAAGTACCCTGGAGATGGGGACAAGAGAGCCCACAGTCCAGTAATACCATACCTCACTCCAGGCTGCCAGCCTCTCAGGGACCTCTGTGACATCCCCACCCAAAGCAGGGCTCCCAGCAAGTCACCACCAGACCACCTTATCGATTTCCTGCACCAGCCAGCCAACATTTCCACTTGTTTGTGTGTTTATTACATACCTATTTCTGCCCCTAAGTAGACTGTGGCCTCCAGAAGGACAGAAAACCTAGCCAATCTGATCGCCACTATATCCCCTGTGCCCAGCACGCAGTAGTCTCAGCTCTTCCTGAATGAAGCTAAAACAGGGTCACTTGGCCAGACCTGGGGTCCTCATCATGTCAGCCCTGATCTCACATGACCCTAGGGGCCCTTTTCCAGTGAGAAAAAGCAGCAGCTAGGGCTGAACGTCTGCAGGAAGCCCAGATGCCTGGGCAAGGAATGAGGGACAGAGCTGGAGGGCTGTCCCGCCCTCATGCCTTTCATTCTGTTCTGGGATGTTAATGAGTCACCGTTTGGCTCACTCATTAAAAGGAGAGCTCAGATGCTCTGCTCTGCTGCCCCAAGGGTAACCTTGAGAAGGCACGTGTCCTGTGTCCTCTCGGCCTCAGTCTCCCTTTTCCAAGCTGAAGGGTCCAGGTCTCCATGCCCAAGGCCTCTATCTGGGCAGGAACTTGGCATGCCCATCTGCCCACAGTGCCCCCTCCCACCCCATTCAGATGGGAAATCCCCACGACAAAAGCTCCTGGGAAACTGACTCCTTTGAAGACTTGGTGGGGGTGGAGAGGAGGCTTCCTGCCATAGCACAAGGACAGGATACTAGGGAAGGGGGTGAGACACACAGCTCAATAGAGCAATGACCCCCTCCCCCATCATCAGAAGCTGGCCAGATGTGCACTCAGCCTCCAAGGAAGCTGGAGCCACGTCAGACTCCAATCTGCTCTCCCATCTGACAGCCACAGCCACACAGGCCATCTGCTCCAAGGAGTCAGGGTTGCCCACAGGCCTCCTCCCCAAGCCCCAGCAGTAGCAGTGGCCCCAAGGACAAGCCCCAGTCCCCTCTCTGGGGCCTCCAATTGGGACAGTCTCTGTTCCTGGGATACTTCCAGGCTCCCTCTCTCGCTTCAGGCCATTATGCCCCTTTACGACAGGAGAGGGTGTTTATGCAACACACAGGAGAGATGACGGGGCAAAGGGAAGGCTAGAAGGACCCCTGGTGGAGGCTGCAATCCCACTGCTCTGATGGATTCCGACTAGTGGTCATCCTTGAAGAAGACCGAGCATTTGAGATCTTGGTGGAAGACCCTCAGGACTCTGGCTGCACTGGATTTCTGCGAAGATTCTACTGTTGCCATCCCAAAAACCTGAACAGGTCCCCCATCTTCTGGAACTGCCACGCTCCTCAGAGCTTTGAAGGTGGTGCAGTACAAGAGAAGCAAAGGGCCCAAGGTGAGGAGAGGAGGGAAGGCCCGGAGATCTACAAATGCCTGGAAGGAGGTGGGAAATCTGTCTCACCCTAAAATGAAGGGAGGATCTTGGGGCCTAGAATATACCCCAGGACACCTATCTCCCGGCCCTGGCTTCTTCCCTGCCAGAACTGGAACCTCAAAGGCAGAGCGACCATATAATTTATTGCACAAACAAGGACACCTATGAGAGTAAAATGGGGACTACTAATTATTCTGCCAGGACAATAGGCATATGGCCACCCTATTCGAAAGCCACCTCTGATCCAGATGCTGGAGCTCAGACCACAGCACAGGCTGCCAGCCTCCCTTCCCCAAGGAGGCAGCTCAAGAGCCCACTCCCAGCCATGCCACGTGGCAGGTACCATCTTGACAGCCCCCACCCCACCAGCCAGAACCTCAAAGGACTGGGAGGGGCTTCCAAGCAAGCTCCAAATAACTGGTTTGGGATTCCTCAGGCAGCCCGCTAGGCTAGGCCTGCAGCAGCTTAGCGCCAGCTTCTGGTGGTGACGTGGCAGTCAGGAGGTTGAACTATCTCCACAGGCCGGCAGAGGGGGGCTTCCAGCCTGGGAAGCAGGCCTGGTTCAGGTCCCAGGGGTGCCACGCATTAGCCAGGGAACTCCAGGAGCCTTCTTTGGCCTTAGTTCCTTTCCCATCTGCACATGGATCCCTGAAGGGAAATACCCGCTGGGGAGAAGGGTGGCCCCGTTAAAGCCAGCAGCAGGAACGGAGGAAGGCAAGTTACTGCAAGCAGGCCAGTCTCCCACAGCCCAGCCCATCTTGCCACAGAGAAATGCCAGCCCTCGGGCCAAGGTTAGCTGAGTCCCACAAAGAAAACACAAGATTGCCTAGCCAGGGCGGCGCCCACAGCTAGCCAGACTGAGCAGGGTCTGGAAGGGCAGGGGAGGAGATGACGGGGCCATTAGAGAGTCCCAAACACTTGAGGGGTCTAAAGTACCTGGAAACTGCCTCAGAGGGAGGTCAATGCCTGCCTTTTTCATTCTGAAAAAAAACAGAAGAGTGAGGAGGATGGGAGCCGGCAGAGGAGAGGTGGTGAGGAGGCCCCTGATGCAGAGGGAACAACCAGTTCCCGATCTACAGGGACCTTGGAGGTCAATCACCTCACTGTTCAATGGGAGAAACTGAGGCCAGGGCAGGGGGCCACCCCAGGTCCCTCGGGATAAACAGAGGTCTGCCTTCCTAGCACAGGGCTTCCTCCTCTCAGAAGCACATGGAGGCCCTCCTGAAGGCGGCATCGGTGTCCTGTTACACAGCCAGTACCAAAAAAAAAATCTCTGCTGGGAATCCTGGTGACAGAGGAGACAAAGGAAGGGACAGGAAGGGGGATGGGTACATAAACCATCTGAAGACAGGAGGGTGTGGCCCCGACTAGAATTCCATTGAACCAAAGCCCCCTCATTTTCCCCCAGGCCTCCATCCCGGCCCAGCAGTCCAGAGGGACCAGCCGGAAACCAGGAAGAGGAGGGGCTGGGACTCTGGGCCAGTCTGGAAGTGCATTCATTCTCCTTCCTCCTCTCCAGCCACCTCAGGAATGTCTCTAAGCTGGGGGGCAGGGAACCCCAGTCTCTGGAAGTGAGATCCTGCAGTTTAAACCCTCCCGTTACTCCAAGAACCCGGTGGCAGTGGGCAGGAGAGACTCAAATCCTCCTAGTCAGCTCCTTAATCCCCAGAGCTAAGCAGACCCTAATGACCCCCACTCCCTTTTTCCGAGGGGAGGGAGCCTCGCTGGCCAAGTCTTTCCTTTGGCTGCCATCATCTAGGCTGCAAGCTGCTGATCAGAAATTGAGCCACTGTCGCCCACTTCTATCAGAGCACATGGACCCCTAGAGTCAAGACGATTTCACCTCTTTTCCCACCACCCTACTACCTTCAGGAGGCTGATGCCCTCAGCAAGCCTGTGAGGAGGCTGGGCCACTAATCACTGCTGCCCCTGGGTCTCAACCCCAGAACGGAAGGGACCTGGAACTGCAAGGCCAGCCTGTCCTCCCTATCCATGCTGGAAGAGGCACCAGACCCCATCTCCTTCCTCCTCGGTTTGTTTCCGCAGAGGCTCTGCTCTCAGCCTCCAGCCCCCTTTACACAGCACCTACTAAAGGTCTCTGCCACCACCACCTTCTAAGGGTCTCTGCGCTTTCCCCCAATCCTCCGAGTGCACGGGCTCCCACCCTGGCTCGGATCTCTGCCCTAGCCCTCAGCTGGCTCCATCACCAGCTAGCTCTGGGCTCCCGATTCCAAACCCTCCAGCGGCCCCCAAAGTGCCGAGAACTCCAGTTTGCAGGCTCTGGCTTGGCCCCCAACGCCTGGCAGGGTCCCTTCGCCCCTCTCACTCCCTTGCGCACCCCCAAATTGCTCTGAGCTCCCGCAGGCCGCACGCGGGCGTCCCCCGCCCCTCACCTGGGTCGGGCTGGGCGGGCGCCGGGATGGGAGTCTCGCTCCCGAGCCGCGACACGATTCTACTCTTCGCCCGCTCCCCTGCTCCCGGTATCTATATATGGCAGTCCCCACCCCCTCCGGCCCGTCCCGAGAAACTTCTGGAAAGTTGGAAACGCTTCCGGAGGGCGCCCCAGCTCCGTCAAAAAAAAAGCCAAAGACCTCCCCCAAACTTCCCCGGCCCGCGGCCCCTCCCTCTGCCGGCGCCTCCCGGCCCCTGGGTCCTACTGCCCCCCTCGGCGGCCCGGGCTGAGGGGCCCCGGGAGTCCCCACCGGGACCAGCGTGTCCTTCGGAGTGCGAGTCTCCTCCCACCCCACCAGGCTCTCTGCACTAGCCAGCCCGCTCCTGATCGCACATTCCTTCAGGCGCCCCTTTCCCCGCAGGGACTTTGCCCCGAGCAAAGCCATCGCCCATTTTCTCCACTCTCCCAATTTTCAAGGTGAAACATAATTGAGTTCGGGGTGCACCCTTCTCCCTCTCAGGGGAGATTGTCAGGCTTCGGAAGGCAGCGCCTTTTCTCCATGCTTGTTCATCCAAAAAAACGTCAACCTCAGAGATGGCCAGAGGGAGAGGGAGCAGACCAGCCCCGCTACCTTCCTGGCACTGGAAAAGTTCAAGTCTTGGAGTAATAGAGGCAGAGATACCTAGGGAACGTCAGGTGGTCTGGCTGGGCTTGGAGGGGTGCACAGGAAGAAAAACCTGGCTCCATTCAACAAGGTGCTGTGTGACCCTAAGCAGGTTACTTTCCCTTTCTGGGCCTCTGTTCTCTTTAGCTGTGAAATGTGGTGTTAAGTCATCCTTTGCTATTTTCCCCTCTCTCTCTCTCTTTCTCAATCCCTGTCATCTTGGCCCTCTCCCGATTGCAACCCCTCCCACAGGCCTCAGGTCTCTCTGTCAATTCCTACCCCACCCTTGCAGACTGATAGCTACTTGACCTCGGAGTTAAGCCAGGGTATTCATTACTGTTCTGGGTGCTGAGGACACAGCTGAGAGCTGAACAGAGTCCTCCCCCCATGCGATGTCCATCTGAGGGGTATGTGTGGGTTAGTAGGGAGCTCAGTGAGGCAGATTATTTAGGAAACCCCCCACACCCAGTCCTCTTTAGTAGTTTAATGATAGATCTTGGATGGAGACAGTATGGAGAGGAAGGGACAGGGTAGGGACTCTTCATTCATTCATTCAACAAACTGTGTGGAGCATCTTCTTTCTTCTAGGTGCATCCGTGGATCCTGGAGAGGAAAAAATCCCAGCACCCAGCAAATGAGTCAGTCACCTGGGTCCCTGCCCTCTGTTAGTGGCTGTGGGGAAGCCTAGTAGATGTGACAAACCTCTTTGTCTGGGTAGGCTGCTGCTGCTCAGAGTCTTTTGGGTACAAGAACTGTGGGAAATCTCAGATCCCAAAAGCTTCAGACTCTGAGATTCAAGGTAAAAGAATAAGAGATTACTTCCACTAAAAGCCCCCATGGAGTCTTTGAATCCAGCTAAGGATTCTTAACATGTTAAAGTCTCAGAATTGAAAGATTTTGGAATAAATGTATTAAAGATTCTGAGCTACGAGGCATCTCAGAGGTCCGAAATTCCTGTCTGCAGCCCCAGGCAGAAGCCCTCTCTTCGGTATCCCAAAATGGCCAGCACCCAAGCACCTCTAAGAAGAGCGAGCTTACCTCCTTCAGAGGCAGCCCCTCATTCTTTTTCAGGACAGGTCTGATTATTAACAAAACCTGGCAGCCTTGGCATGGTGTCCATCTCTTTGAGGTGGCTGTCGTGGTTCTCATGTGCTTCCTCCTGCCTCACCTATATATTGCTTTTAAAGATAAATCCTAGGCCGGACATGGTGGTTCATGCCTGTAATCCCACCACTTTGGGAGGCCGAGGAGGGTGGATCACCTGAGGTCAGGAGTTTAAGACCAGCCTGGCCAAAATGGTGAAATGCTATCTCTAATAAAAATATAAAAACTAGTCAGGTGTGGTGGTATGTGCCTGTAATCCCAGCTACTCACGAGGCTGCGGCAACAGAATCACTTGAACCTGGGAGGTGGTAATTGCAGTGAGCTGAGATCATGCCACTACACTCCAACCTGGGTGACAGAGAGAGACTCCATCTCAAAAAAAAAGACCAGGGACAGTGGCCATGCCTGTAATCCCAGTACTTTGGGAGGCCAAGGCAGGTGGATCACCTAAGGTCAGGAGTTCAAGACCAGCCTGACCAACATGGAGAAACCCCATCTCTACTAAAAATACAAAAAATTTTCCAGATGTGATGACGCATGCCTGTAGTCCCAGCTACTTGGAAGGCTGAGGCAGGAGAATGACTTGAACCCGGGAGGTGGAGGTTGCTGCGAGCTGAGATCATGCCATTGCACTCCAGCCTGGGCGACAAGAGGGAAACTCTGTCTCAAAAAAAAAAGAAACAGAAAAAGAAAAGATAAATCCTTTTTTATCCAAGGAGGCCTCCTGGGTCCCAGGCCAGACCCCACTCTTGGCTCCCCAACCCCCACATTGGCCCTCAGGCTTCCCTGTGACTTGGTCAGTGAGCTGAGAGCAGGGCAGAAACAAAGAGTGCCCATCAATGCTGGCAGAATGGAGAGGGTGGCCTGGGCTTGCCACAGGTTCAGATGTCAAATCCCAATGAGACATCCTTCCTCTGTGCTCTTAGGTCTCTTAGCTCTCTTAGGCCTCACCAACACCTGAGGGAGAGGCTGAGAGTGCTGTGACGGTCCCCTTTTGTCGAGGGATAAACCGAGGCTCATGCTGATACATAGACCCAGAATCATAGGAGGTCACAGGAGAGCGGACCTGCCTTTACAGACAGGGGAGCTGAGGCCTAGGGAGGGCTGGGTCTGAAGGCCCTCGGCTGGACTCCCTGACCCCCACTAACCTCCTCTGTGGCCTATCTCGCTGCATTACCTCTGTTATCACCCTGTATTGTCAGTGAATGTCACTGGAGACTGGAAGGGCAGGGACTTTTCCTTGTCACTCTGATTCCCCAGCTCCCAGCAAGGGGACAGTATGGAAGAAGCACCAGGTAAGGATGGCCAGCCAGGAGATGAGAGGTGGCTGCCTGAGTCTGCTGTGCCCCTAGCACGGCCTCCCTGAGGAAGGAAAGGCAACGGCTCCTTTAAATGTCCATGATCAGCTCACACACACACAAAAGTCAAGAGCCTTTGCCACAATATTCTTAGCTCGGAGCCCAACCCAGACTGACTGTGGCCCTTCCCCCGCATTCCAGGCAGAGCTTTCTGGAAAAAGCACTCTTTAAGAGGGTGGGGGAGAAGAGTCTGATAAATAGGTCTCAAGCATTTCGCCTCTGGAGTCCTCCAGTGCCTTGCTTCCCTGCAGGAAGTGGCTCTGCTGCCCTGCACATGGAGGCCTGCTGGAAATCCTCTAGGTCCCTAAGTCCCAAGAGGTGTAGGCAGCAGGAAGTAGAAAACTATCAAGTCCAACTGCATCCATCCTATACAGAGAGGAAAACGGAGGCCCAGAGAAGGCAGGAATTCACCCAAGGTCACACAGCAAATCAGAGGTGGGGCTGGGCTGGACCCTGGATTCCCAGCTGTCTTTCCCCCACAGCACCCTCTAATGACAGGGGCGGGGTGGGGAGGAGATGTAGGCCCAGTTCTGCCAGGTACTGTAGAAACAGGTGTCTTTGGCCCTAAGGGCTAGATTCATTCAGTCTTCACCCCATAGATTCCTAGGACAAAAATTAGCATGTCATTTAACTGTGCAACACAGTCACATTTATTATCATATTCAGTCCTTTCAGGTAAGGAAGAATGTTCCCATTTTCAGCAGGAAGAAACTGAGGATCAGGGAGTCTAAGCGGCATGGTCAGGGCACACGGCAAGCCAGAGTCAGAGTTTGGTTTTGAATCAGGTCTGTTTATGGCATATCCATGGGAAGGCAGGGAGTAGATGAGAAGGAAGTGACATTTATGGGGCATTTTGCCACTCCCAGGTCCTGTGCTGGGCGCCGTCAACAGTGTCTCACTTTTAATTTTAGAATGTTAATAGGAAGGAAGTTTAATCCCCTTCTTTTCACATTGGGATAAAATTAGAGCCCAGAAAGCTCCGGCAGCCAGTCCAGGGTCTGCCCCTCCCTTGGGGAGCCAGGGCCGTTGTAGGCAGCTCTTCTGTGGGATGCTGTCCAGGAGCCAAGAATGTACTCTCAGCCCAAGGCATGAGTCAGGAAAACACAATTTCTGTAATCTCGGATTCTCTCTCTTGGAGCGTAGGACCTTCCATCCAAAAAGGGCTGTCCTGCAGACTGCCACGCTGCAGGGTGGGCATTCAGTCAGTGTGGGGGTGGGTGAGCACATGATTCCTCCCCTCCTCCTCCCCGAGCAGGCCCGCCCCCATCCCTCTGCAATCTTAGTGCTGAGCAAAGCCGCATAGGAACTCCAGTGCCTTCACCCACATGCCTGACACAATACCCAGGAGACACAAGCCCACTGACATGCTATATACACAGACGTGTGTGCACCCACCCACATGGGGCACGCACATGGCACCCAAGCAGCCCTTCACACAATCCACATACAAATATGTCTGTGTAACTCCAGCAGCCCAAATGCACCCCACCCCCTACAGAAGCGATTGCTAAGTATTGACATATACATAGGCTCAGGTTCCCTGCCTCCCCGCTCCCAGCCTCCCTCTCTCAGGCCTCCTCGGGCAACCCATGGAGCCAGCTCCAGTGTCTGCAAGCCAGGCCTGAAGGGCTGGTGGGATGGAGGACCTGTGTTAACTTTACCCCTGCCTTTCTTTTCCCTTCTTACTCTCCTCTCCCTTAGGTGCTGCTGAGCTTCTAATAATAGTGATGCCCAGGTGGGCTACAGGGCTGTCCTCCCTTGTCTTAGCATCCCTGACACTCAGAAAAGGGACTCCTGCCAGGTGCAGTGGCTCATGCCTGTAATTCCAGCACTTTGGGAGGCCAAGGTGGGTAGATCACTTGAGGTCAGGAGTTCGAGACCAAACTGGCCAACATAGTGAAACCCTGTCTCTACTAAAAATACAAAAATTAGCCAGGCATTGTGGCAGGTGCCTGTAATCCCAGCTACTCGAGAGACTGAGGCAAGAGAATTGCTTGAACCCGGGAGGTGGAGGTTGCAGTAAGCCGAGATTATATCACTACACTCCAGCCTGGGCAACAGAGTAAGAGTCCATCTCAAAAAAAAAACCAAAGGGGACTCCTGAGCTCTGACTCCCCCACTACCCCCCAGACCAGCTCTACTGTGCCTCAGCCCAGTGCAGCCCTGCTGCGTTATGGGTTGCAAAATGCCCTCACTTGGGGGTTGAGGACCTGGGATCCTGCCCTGGGTCTGCCACTTCTTGGCTATGTGCCCATGGTCTAAATTCCCCTTCTGTAAAATAGGACTGATACTCTGCAGAATGATGAGAAGCACAGATAAAATCATGAATAGGAGAGGACATTGTGAACACTAAGTGATTTGGGATCTCTACTCCACACCTCTGCTCACAACTGCAGCACTGGTCAAATCCTACACAACCTGTAGACACCACCTCTGACCATTCCTGCTCTGTCCTCTGAGAGCTGTCCTGTCAGTTCAGCTCACACCTCACCTTGCACATACACACAAGGCAAATGAAGAGCTGTGACTGGAATGGCGACTTCCCTGGGAGGCGCAGGAGGGGGACAGTAGTCTGGAAAAGCAGGAGAAATGCAGCCTGGGAGTCAGGAAGTCTGTGTTGGGATCAGTTCCTGCCACCATTCACTGGTGACCTTGGAAAGTCACTGCACCTCTCTACACCTCAATTTCCTCATCTGTAACATGGGATATGAGCAGGGTCTGGAAGAGTTTGTAGGATTTAATTTTAAACAGCAAGAAGAATTTGTACACACTCCTGGCAGGAGGAGAAATTGGCACACTCTTTCTAGAAGGCAGTTGGCACTTTAAAATAAAAATATGTTATTGAATAATTCCCTGCAACATTGTTTGTAATCGCAAAGATGGGAAACCACCTAATTGTCCATCCACAGGAGGTGAGAACACCAGGAAGCTGGAAAAAAACAAAAAGCCGGGAAGTTCTTTATGTCCTGATACTGATTGTGGTGAGTGGAAGAGCAGTGTGCAGAGTGTACATTACCTATTCACACGTTTTTACATTTTGAAATTATTCATGTTCTTTTGGGAAAAAAAAATCAATTTGTAGAAATTTCGCTGAAGGAAATGACTTAGAAATATGTGCATAGATATGTGCAGAAGAATGTTTTTCAGAGTCTTGTCTGGAATCACAAAAAAATTGGAGAGCAGGTCAATAAGGGATGAAATATTTGCGGATGTCACAAAGGGGAAAGCTTGCTGTAATCCCCAGGCACAGAGAGATCGCTTGGTGGATTGCTGGATAAAAAATAAAGCCGTTTATGAAACAGCATGTTTATGAAAATTCCATGGGAGAGCTACAGATATCTGGGACAATGTTCACATTGCGCCAAAAAGTTCGTGATGGTTTTCGGGTGATTTCCACTTAATTTTTAAAAAATTTTCTGCTATTAAAAGATTAGAGGCTATTTATCTATTTATTTTGAAACAGAATCTCCCTCTGTCACCCAGGCTGAAGTGCAGTGGTGCAAACCCTGCTCACTGCAGCCTACATGTCATGGGCTCAAGTGATCCTCCCACTCACCCTCCCAAGCAGCTGGGACCACAGGTGTATGCCACCAAGCCGGGCTAATTTTTTTAATTTTGTAGGGACAGTGTCTCATCAAGTTGCCCAGACTGGTCTCAAACACCAGACCTCGTGATCCACCCACCTTGGCCTCCCAAAGTGTTGGGATTATAGGCGTGAGCCACTGTGCCCAGCCTGGGTTTTTCATTGAATGAATGTGTATTATATGTAATTAATACAAAATATATAGGTATATAAAATATTCATAGAGAAAGGCTAGAAAGAAATGCTCTTACATGGTTTAATAGTGTTTAGCTTTGGAGATAGAAATATTTATCATCCTTATTTTCTTTTCTCTGCTTCCCTGAATTGCTTTCGATAGCATATATTACTTTTATAGTCAGCCAGAAAAAATCAATCAAGTGAATAGAAAAGAGATCCCCAGAAGGGTGTCAAGCTCCGGCCTGAAGGGAGCTTGTCCAGGGTGTGGCTGGGGAACGGGTGGTGCTGGGCCTGTGGCTCAGGGCTGCGGAGCTGCAAGCCTGGGAAGGTGGGAGGCTGGGGCTGGGGCCCCTCTGGCCAGGCCTGGCATTTCCCACCAGCCCAGACCTGCTGGCTCTAGGCCTCAGGCTAAAGAGAGCCAATTCCTGGCAAGATTTCATGCGACACAGCCAGGGCCCAGTAGGGATGAGACCCCACAGAGACCACCATGGGAGAGGGTACATGTGAGTAAAGCTGTGGAAGTTGGTGACAGGTCACCCTGCATTTTTGCATTCTCTGACTGCTGCGTGGAGATCCAGAGAGGGAGGCCAGAGGAGAGAAATGCTCAGTAACCCGGAGAGAGATGCTGGTGCCTGGGCCAGGCAGGGGCCTCAGGCTGGAGAGGGCCCAGTGGTGGTGGGCTGGGCACTGAGGGCCTGAAACAGGGGAAAGGAGGACTCTCTGGTGCCTGGCCTGGTGAACAGGTGGCAAATGGTCCTTTTCCTGCAGCGGAAACTGTGGGGAAAGGCAGTGAGCTCTGGGGGAAGCCAGTGGGCTCTGTAGACAGGAGACACCCAGGAGGCTATAACATCCATGAATCTGGCACTCAGGAAAGATGACAATTTGGGAATCACGGTTAGGAGAGTAACTGAAAGATGCCCCAGGTGAAAGATGTGGATTGGAGCTGAGAAGAACAGAGGCTGGGGAGAAATGTGTTCACACTGTGCCAAGGGGTGACCCTGCCACCTCCCGGAAGGAAGGGAAACCAAGGCTGAGCTGGCAGGACCACTGGTGGGGGCAGGGGCACAGAGGGAGGGGCCACAGGCAATGGAGCAGCAGTTCCTTCCTCCTAGCTGAGAGTGCCGAGGAGGACCAGGCAGTCACAGGGTGATGGTGATGGGGTGGGCTGGGCTAGTGCTGGGGTCTATACACGCAGCCAGGCCTCATTGGCTGTAGTGGCCAGAGCAGGCCCAGAGACAGGCCGAGCTGATGCAACGTGGGCCTATTGGTGCAGGCCCTGCTGAGGGGATGCAGCTGTGCTGGCTGCTGCCCAGAGGTTCCAGCAGGGAGGAGGCTGGCTCTCAGGGCCACCTAGAGCTCTGGGACTGCAGCCTAGCCAGACCCAAAGGCTGTCTGTTCTGGGTCTGCTCTGACTCAGGAGGGAAACATGCCTTTCATGGAAGCACCCAGCACTGTTGGCTGGGTCTGTGTGTGTCTTTGTGCCTGTGTGTGTGTGATGGGGGAGGAGCCCATAGCTGATGCTATATACATAGCTGTGCTTCACAGGCTCAGCATTCCCAGCGCCAGATGGGAAATAGGGGAGGGGAGGAGCTGGGCACCTGCCAAGCCCAGGCCTCTGGAGGAGCCCCAGCTCCTGGGTTCCAGTCTGTACTCAGCCTCTGACCCCACACCTGACTTTCAGCAAGTCCCTGATCCCTCTGAGTCTCAGTTTCCCCATCTCTTGAGCTGGCACAGAGAGTTATGAAAAATAACTCAGAGGCTGGGAGCTGGAGTGGAAAGGGAGTCCCCAGGGAGCACAGCTGGCTAGTCTTCACACTCAAAGCAAGCACAGGAGAAAGGGAACTAGCACTTCCCAACGCCCGCACCGTGCCAGGAGCTCCTTGATTCTCCATCAATTTCCATCACTCTGTTATGAGGCAGGCATTTTCTTCCCCTTTAGCAGATGATGAAACTGGGCCCCAAACAAGTAGAAATGATAGAGCTGGGTTTGAAGCTAGCTTTCCTTGTCTGGGTCTGGGATTCTGTCCACAGCAGCCACTGGGCCATACCTGCGAGGGTGTCAGGAGGCTTGTGCTGGCGGTGTTGCCAAGGATTCCAGGAGCCACCCACATTTTGGGCACTGCCTAAAGTTGATTACTTTGTTAACCCTGCCCAGGCCCCAGGCATAGGCTTTAAATTGTTACAACAATGAAGAAGGGAGACCTGGGTAAACAGTGGCCAGGCCTGAGGGAGTCCTGGGACACAGTTGAGGTAAAGACCAATCAGAGCATATGCTGAGGCTAAGGAATTCATAGGTAGCTTCCTCCAGCTCCCTGACGCAGGGTCCCTAAAAGACTAATGAGGGTGGCGCTGAGTGCTAGAAAGAATCTGCCCTGGATACAAATCCAGACACCAAGTCTGGTCCCTGGAACAAGCCAGGAAGCAGGTTATTGGAGCAAGGCTGTGAGTGGGCTCCTCCTGAAGATGGAGCTTGGCACGGTTTGCGTGGGAGCAAGTGGGTCAGCAATAGGCCAGCGCCACAGGTGCATAGGACTGGCCCAGCCCGACACCCATGCCAGGTGTCTTCCCTGCCACCTGTGGTGAGGCTGGCTCTGCCATAGTGCCCATGGGTGCTGGGGTGGGGGATGTGCAGGTCCAGTGCCCACAGAGCTGGCTTTGACACCACTGGGCATTTTCAGAGAGAGAGTCTTGCTCAAGGATTACACCATAGAGGTTTTGCCAAGGAACTTCTGGAGACAGAAGGGCTTGACCCAGAGACATCATGTTGACATAAATTCCAAGCACTGGCAGACCACTCATTTTCACTCAAGACCCACTTTTCCTGAGCAAGTGTTCTGAGCCAGGCCCTGTTCTGGAACACAGAAGCAAAACCAAATCTACTCCCTGAAGCAATGGGGCTCACACCAGGTGCTCAGGAATGTGACCGAGGGGAGGAAGCAGAGGCACTCTGGGGCTGTAGCCCAGCTAGAAGGAACCCAGAAGTACCCAATCTAGTGTGGGGCCGGAGGTCAGGGAAGACTTCCTGGAGGCGGCTGCCTGAGGTTGAGAAGTGCACACCAAGAAGAGAAGACCGGGAATGGGGTGAGGCAAGTGAGGCACTTGCCTTCGGGGCACAATGAATGAGAGCACCAAAAACCTCAGTCATCAAAGTAAATCGAGTCTCCTGCAATATTTCAAAAAATCTAAGTCAATGCAAAAATTCTCTGAGTAACAAAAGATCACAATTTTAAATAAAGACAGGATCAGGGTCGACCTCATGGGTGTACAGATCGTGCAGTGCCACAGACCCTCCCAAGTGGTTCCACGTTTTGCTGTTGCCATCCTGCAATTCTTTTTTTATGTTTGTATTTTTTGCAGAGATGGGGTGTTTATATTGCCCACGCTGGTCTTGAACTCCTGGGCTCAAGAGATCCTTCCACCGTGGCCTCTCGAAGTGCCATGATTACAGGTTTGAACCACTGCACCCAAACACTGCAATTTTTTTTTATTTGAGACGCAGCATCACTCTGTTGCCCAGGCTGGAGTGCACGTTGCAATCTCCCATACCAGGGTTCAAGTGATTCTCCTGCCTCAGCTCCAGATTACCTGGGATTACAGGAGCCAGCCAGTTGCCACCACAATTCTTAATAATTTTTGAGGCTGGGCTTAGTGGCTCATGCCTGTTATCCAAGCACTTTGGGAGGCTGAGATGTGTGGATCACCAGATGTCAGGAGTTCGAGATCAGTCTGGCAAACCTGGTGAAATCCCATCTCTATTAAAAATGCACAAAATTAGCTGGGCATGGTGACACGTGCCTGTAATCCCAGTTATTTAAGAGGCTGAGGCAGGAGAAACATGTGAACCCAGGAAGTGGAGGTTGCAGTGAGCCAAGGTCGCACCACTGCATTCCAGCCTGGGCAACAAATAATAATAATAATAGTAATAATTTTTGGAGAAGGGGCCTCACAAATTACATTGCCAGTCTCAGACAGGATCAGTAGCACAGACTGTGTGAGGCCATATTGGAGCCTGAGACAAAAGGAAAAATAAGAAAGTCCTTATTTTAAATGTGGTATTTTGTTCATCACGGATTTTTTGCATTTGTTTTCATTTAAAAATATATCTTACATGAGGCCGGGCACTGTGGCTCACGCCTGTAATCTCAGCGCTTTGGGATGGCTAGGCGGCAGATCATGAGGTCAGGATTTGAGACCAGTCTGACCAACATGGTAAAACCCTGTCTCTACTAAAAATACAAAATTAGCCAGGTGTGGTGGCACACACCTATAATCCCAGCTACTTGGGAGGCTGAGCCAGGAGAATTGCTTGAACCCAGGAGGCAGAGGTTGCAGTGAGCCAAGATCATGCCACTGCACTCCAGCCTAGGTGACAGAGTGAGACTCCATCTCAAAAAATATATATATTACATGAAAATATGATTCATCCTAATCTCCAAAGGAGATTTCTGGTGCTCCTTTTAGTTTATACTTGTCTCGCCCTAGCCCCAGCCCTGGAAGAAGGAGAGGAGAGGAAGGACACCCCAGGCAGGGGAAAGAGCAGGGGCAAAGGCTGGCAGCCTGACTGCCAAGGAGAATTGGCACGTGAGGTGCCAGGAAGGCTCTAGGGAGCAGGCAGGGCCTCAGGGCCCTCCCAGGTCCCACTGATCCTTGCTGGAGAGGCAGTGTCTCCCTACCTCTCAAATCACCATCCAGAGCCTTGATGCCCATCTGCAAAGTGAGAGCCATGGGTCCTTTCAAGCCTGTCTTCCTCTTCCAGGTAGTTCTGAGAAACAACCACAACACAAAGACCCTGGGTTGGAAGCAGCCTGGAAACTGGACAGCACGTGCCCAAATTCTGTGTCAGGTGCCACAGGGTTCCCACAGATCTCCAAAGCCCTCCAGGCCTCACTCCATTTTCACAGTTCTGAGGCCTCCCACCACCAGCCAAAGCACCGCCTTTCCCCAGCCCTCAGTGCACACAAGAGTCAGAGGAAGTCCGGCCTTTACTCCTTCTTTCTGTTTCTTCATGCACAGTAAAGATTTGTTGTTGTTGAGACGGAGTCTCACTCTGGAGTACAGTGGTGTGATCTTGACTCACTGCCTCCTAGGTTCAAATGATTCTCCTGCCTCGGCCCCCTGAGTAGCTGGAATTACAGATACACACCACCATGCCTGGCTAATTTTTGTATTGTTAGTAGACACAGGTTTGACCATGTTGGCCAGGCTGGTCTCGAACTCCTGACCTCAGGTGATCCGCCTGCCTTGGCCTCCCAAAGTGCTGGGATTACAGGCGTGAGCCACCACATCCAACCTCACGCAGCAGAGATTTATTGAGAACCCACAATGTACCAGGCATTGTTCTTGGAATACAAAAGTCAAAATCAGACCATTGCCCTCCAGGAGCCTGGCATGCTGGTGAGTGGAGACAGGCAATAAACTAAGGAAAAGTAGCATCATTTCAGATAATGAGGGCTAGGAAGAAATGAAAACAGGTGCTGCGGGTAAGACTACTTTACACCAGGCAGCCGATCTGAATAAGAAGCTGTAATCGTTTGCTGTGGCTGCTGTATCTAGTACCACACACTTAGTGGCTTCAAATGATACAAATTTATTTTCTTATGGTTCTGAGGTCAGAAGACTTAAATGGACTAGCAACTCCTTCTAAAGGCTCTGGGGGCAAATCTGCTTCCTTGGCCTTTCCAGCTTCTAGACGCCACCCCCATTCCTTGACTTGCAGTCCCTGCCTCTACCTTCAAAGCCAACAGAGTGGCAGCTGCCAATCTCCCCCTCTCTCTCTGACTTCTCCCTCTCTTATCACATCTCTTTCTTTGACTCCTGCCCCCCAGCCTCACTCTTGATATGGACCTTCTTGACGACACAGGGCCACTAGTAAAATCTCCCTATCTCAAGATCCATAATTGAATCTCATGTGCAAAGTCCCTTGTACCATGCAAAGTAATGCACTCACAAGTTCCAGGAATTAGGACATGGACGTCTTTAGGGAGCCATTCTTCCTCTTACCAAAGGAAGAGGAAGACCTTATGGTGGGAGGAGGGGATCCCAAGCAGAGGGAGCTGCATGGGCAAAGGCCCCACGGTTAAAATGAACTAGGCATGCTCTAGGAACAGCAAGAAGGTCAGCCTTCTAGAAAGTAATGCTCCAGTTAGCCTGATTTGTCAATGTCATCCACAAGGCCAATCCCATCTCTGCAGACAAATGTTCTGCAGTGTGTTTCCAGGAGCCCTGTGAGTCCAGGGCATCCCCTTGGCATGTAAGTTCATCTCCTCCATCTTTCTGCTTCTAGCTGTCAGACTCTTCACATGCGTAGAGCTCTGGACATGTGAGGAAGGTGCCTGGCTGGGCACTCACCTGGGCTGGAGCCAGGCCGACTCTGGTGGAGGGGTGTGCCCAGCCCCTGGTACCTGAGTATAAGCCTGCTCTTTCTTTCCCATTGAAGGTCAGGATTGTGTGGCTAAGGGTGGATGGGGGCAGGAAAGCTGGATCTCAGGCAGTGGCAGGGGCTGTCAATGGCCATATTGTTAGCTCTGGGCTACAGCATGGAGGCGCCAGGGCAGGGCTGAATGAGGCGTCTGTTCGCTAGGTCAGGATGCCCAGGTCAGGGTCTCTCTTGAGATATGCCTTCCACCCCCACCCTAACCCCAACTCTGCCCAGACTCTACCATGTGGCTCCCTTGACATCTCTGGTACCCACCCATCCCTCAGGGACCACAACTGTAACTGGCTGGCTCACTGTGAGGTTGGCTGTCGGATGGTGGTCTTCCCAGTTAACATGTGAGCTCTCCACAGAAGCCAGGAACTGTCTTCATCACCGCCGTCTCAGCAGCCAGCAGCCAGCACCCAACCCAAGGCCTGGTTCAGGCGTGAGCGTGCGATGAATGGACGAATGGAGGAACGGATGAGAGAGACTGCTGCCACCCTTGCCACCCTGGTCACCTCCTCCCTTGACCACCGCACCCTCCTGCTCACTAGGCCTCCCTGACTCCGGTCTCTCCTTCCAGACACTCTTTTCTTTTCACATGGAGACTTGCTCTTTCGTCAGGCTGGAGTGCAGTGGTGCGATCTCAGCTCACCACAAACTCTGTCTTCCGGGTTCAAGCGATTCTCCTGCCTCAGCCTCCCGAGTAGCTGGGATTATAGGCACTCGCCATCAAGCCTGGCTCATTTTCATATTTTTAGTAGAGACATGGTTTCACTGTGTTGGTCAGGCTGGTCTTAAACTGTTGACCTCATGATCCACCCACCTCGGCTTCCTAAAGTGCTGGGATTATAGGCGTGAGCCACTGTGCCCAGCCTGACACTCTTCATTCTAAGGCACCAACTAGTTAAAACGCTCCTGGAGCTCCCTGAGGCCCTCAGGACCTGCCAAGCCCTAGCCTTACCAGGCTACCCGCCCACCAATTCTGTATTCCACCTCTGTACTACTCCTCAAGCAGTCCCCAGCACTGTCCCTGTGCGCCCTTGTACTTATATATTCTTATGCTCAGAAAGCCCCACCTCCCATCTTACCAGCATGGATGACTCCTACCCTCTGTTCAGGCTCCTCCAGGAAGCGAGCCCCTATCACCCCCAGCCTCCCCTGGGCTCCCACAGCCCATGCTTCCCTCATCTCAGCACCAGTTGTAATTCTCAGTTAATACATCTGCCTCCCTTTCCACACCCTGAGCCCCTCAGGGCAGAGACTAATTCTGACCCATGTCTTTCTTTGTCCACTCCAGGGCCCTGGACACGGTCAGGCACTGAACAAATGTTCAGCAAAGGTGTAAGCCCAGCCCCAGGCCAGTGAGTGGTTCCTATTGCCCGGAGAGTGTGCGCTTCTGCCCTCTGGTGTCCATTTTGGGTCACTACGCTTTTCTATCCCTTCTCGGGCTCGCTCGGGTGATGTACTCCAACAGTGGTTCTCAGAGTGTGGTCCCAGGACTAATCGTATCAGCATCACCGTGGAACCTGTCAGAAATGAAAATTCTTGGGTTGTACTCTAGGCATGAATCAGAAACTCTGGCTAAGGGGAAGCAATCTAGGATTTTACCAAGCCCTCCAGATGTTTCTGATGCAGGCTAAAGTTTGAAAGCCATTCTCCTGGAAGAACCCTAAGCTCGAGCCACTCCCAGGAGCTCCAGGTAAGCAGGGGACACAGGATGCACCTGGTAGCGTTGTCAGGTACAATACAGGACTCCCAGTTAAATCTGAATTTCAGATACACAGAACATCAGAAACAGAAACGAGTATTGCACAAGACATACAAACAAAAAAAATGTCTCTTGTTTATGTGAAATTCAACTTCAACTGGATGTCCTATGTTTTCTCTTTCTGTATCAGCAGCCCTATGCAAAGGACCCTGTTCTTAGTTCAGTACTCTGCTATCACCATCTTGAAATTTGTAGTAATCTGTTTTACTAGGAACCCTGCATTTTCATTTGGAAATGGGTCCTGCAAAATGTAGCTGGTCCTAGGAAGGACCCTTACAAAGCCTCCCTGGGGACATTCAGGATCCAGAGCTCAAAGGCAGCCAGAGTGAGACCTATGGAAGCTGAGCTGTGCCTCTAAGGATTCCCAGCTCCTCAGTCTTCCACATGCTCTGGGCTCCCTTCCCAGGTGGGCCAAACCTTCATCTTTCTCCTCAGATTGCAGCTCCTGCTCCTGACACCTTCTATGCCACCTTCCACATAGCACAATGAAGCTCTGAAAACATCTGCCCATGCCACCCTCCTGCCCCCAAACTTTTATCTGGATGTCTCCTTATCACTGCTTTTATTTATTTATTTTTATTTTTGAGATGGAGTGTCCCTCCATCACTCAGGCAGGAGTACAGTGGCACAATCTCAGCTCACTGCAACCTCCACCTCCACCTCCTAGGTTCAAGCGATTCTCCTGCCTCAGCCTCCCAAGTAGCTGGGATTACAGGCATGTGCTATGATGCCCAACTAATTTTTGTATTTTTAGTAGAGACGGGCTTTCATCAGTTGGCCAGGCTGGTCTCGAACTCCTGACCTCAAGTGACCCACCCACCTTGGCCTCCCAAAGTGCTGGGATTACAGGCATGAGCCACTGTGCCTGGCCCCTGCATGACCATCTGTCTATAGATTGGGAGAGAGAGCAGAAGAGGCCTTCCCTACAGTAGAATTTGGACATCTACCTGTTCCCAGGTACAGTTGTAACCTGGCCTGGGAACCCTCTGGGACATGGTAGATGTCCAAATTCTACTCTAACTCACAGGATCCTCCAGGAGGCTTTTCAGTGAACCTCCCTCCCTGGGGACCTCTCACCTAGATTTCCCCCCACCCCGAAAGGAACAATGCCCCCTCTGGTTTGCAACCTCTCCCTTCAGGCATCAGTTCCAGCAATTCCTTCTATTGGGAACTACTCACCCCACCTGCCTCCTGCTTCTTCCACAGGCCCTCATCTGGTCCCCTGGAAAAATCAGGTATCCTTTGTCTAGCCTGGCAATGTGAGCCATTCCCAGGGTGGCCCTAGCTCTCCGCATCCCACCACCACACACTGCCTTTAGCCTCTGATGTGTGAGGACAATTCAGGTTCCTGTGTTCCCCCAGAGTCTTGAGGCCCTCCTCACTTGGTTTAAAGAAGGGAGGGAAGCTCAGAACAAAACAACTATTTTCTCCAAAAAAAAAAAAAAAAAAGCTTTTAACATGGGTGAGGTTGGTGGGGCAGGCCTGGGAGGGCACCCTCTGCTTGTGCTGCAGGATGGTCTGACATTCCATGGAGGATGTAAGGTGCTTGGGCCCTGGTCCTCAGCCTCTGGAGCCCCTGCTGAGACTCCAGCCAACGGGAAGAGCCTCATCCTCGCTTCCACACACAACTAGAGAATTCTAGACTTAGGGAGTTGCAAGAGGCTTCCTTCTACTAGCCCCCAGATTCACCCAGCAAAAGGTGATCCTCTGCGAGCCCCCACGCTAGCTCTGCCTCCTCCAGGAGAGCCTCCCTGACTGCTCTGTGGCATTCCCCTCCTCCTGTTGCCCCCACCATGCCTTGTTCACTCCTCCATTAGAACAATTATTATTATTTTTTTTTATAGAGATAGGGTCTTGCTAACTTGACCACTGGTCTTGAACCCCTGGCCTCAAGAGCCTCACATCTCTGCCTCCCAAAGAGTGCTGGGATTCCAGGTGTGAGCCATCATATTTTCTTCTTCTTCTTTTTTTTAGACAGAGTCTTGCTCTGTTGCCCAGGCTGGAGTGCTGTGGTGTGATCTCGGCTCACTGCAACCTCCAACTCCCAGGTTCAAGCGATTCTCCTGCCTTAGCCTCCTGAGTAGCTGGGATGATAGGCACATGCCACCACATCTGGCTAATTTTTGTATTTTTGTAGTAGAGATGGGGTTTCACCATGTTGGCCAGGCTGGTCTCAAAGTCCTCACCTCAGGCGATTTGCCCACATTGGCCTCCCAATGTGCTGGGATTTGTGAGCTACCGCACCCGGCCCCCCGTATTTTATTCTTTTAAATTGCCTTTGTGTCACATCTCCCCATCAGATTCTGAGTTCCTTGAGGAGTCCCTGAATGGCTCTGGTGTATCGCAGGGTCCCTGGTATCCAGCACGGGGCTGCCTGGCACAGAGGAGTGGCGGTACAGTGACAACAATGACAACCATTATCAAGCATTAACTGTATTCCAGGTCCGGAGCCAAACTTCATGGTGTATGATCTCATTAATCCTGGCTACAGCCTTCTGAGGCAGGTATTACCATCCCCATTTTGTAGATGAGAAGACTAAGGCTCAAAAGATGAAATCACAGGGCCAAGGTCACATGGTGGAGGGTAGGAGAGCTGGAAGGTGACAGGAGCCTTTCTGAGTGCAGAGGCCTCATGCTGCAGTGTGCTGGGGCTCCCCCGTGCCTGCCGGTTCCTAGATGAAGGCAGGGATGAGTAGCACTTGCAGACCAGCCTGATGGCCTCAGGCCCCAGTGACAGGCAGTGGGCAGGGAATTGCTGGGTAGAGGAGGGTGTGGTTCCTGGCTAGGGCTTCACCCCGGGTCTGTGGCCATGGACGCAGGTGAGAACAGGCACTCCTGCCTCTGCCTACACATCCAAATGTTGCATTTCCCAAGACCACCCTGGCCTGCTATGCCCCCATATTGTGCCTGTAAAAACCCTGAGACCCTAGCAGGCAGAGACACAAGCGGCTGGACGTGGAGAGGAACACATCAGTGGAAGAAGACATAAGCTGCTGAATGTCAGGAGGGCGTGGGAAGGAGCACGCTGGCAGAGCCAGCAGGCCATCCCCCAGCGGAACCAGACGCAGTTTGGCCAGGGCAGTTGAAGAAGAAGAGCCCAGGCCACTGAGCGGCCGACTCCAGGGGAAACCTTCCCACTCCATCCCCTTCTGGCTTCCCCATCTGCTGAGAGCTACTCCACTCAATGACACGTTGCACTCATTCTCCGAGCCCAGGTGTGATCCGATTCTTCTGGTATACCAAGGCAAGAAGCCGGGATACAGAAAGCCCTCTGTCCTTGTGACAAGGAGGAGGGTCTAATTGAACTGGTTCACACAAGCCGTCTCTAGACGGCAAAACTAAAAGCACACAGTAGCACATACCCACTGGGGCTTCAGGGGCTGTCATCACCCACCCCTCGACGCTGCTGTGACCGGACCCTCACAGCCTGCCCGTCTGTATGCTCACCTAGAGGTCTGAGCAGCAGGGCACTGGAGAAGCGAGTCACACCCCATCGCACACCCTGCGAGGTAGACAAGCGAACCGTTCCCATCTCACTGGCAGGTAAGGACTCTGTTATTGTGGGGTCACAGAACATACAGAGAGTCAGGGGACAAAGGAGAATCAAAATAAATGTGGGGGCTGCTGTCTTCTGAGGCCATTGTAAAGTCAAATCAAGGTGTTATTTGATTTGGGGTGTTACTTCTTGCTGGCATTGGTGAGCCTGATTTTTTTTTTAAGAGACGGGGTCTCTGCTGCCAAGGCTGGAGTGAGTGACATGACCATAGCTCACCGCAGCCTCAAACTCCCTGCCTCAAGCAATCTTCCTATCTTCCTATCTTCCTGCCTCAAGCGATCTTCCTATCTATCTTCCTCCCTCAGCCTCCTGAGTAGCCGGGACTACTGGTGCTTGCCACCAGCCTCAGTAGGTTTTTAAAATTTTTTGTAGAGACAAGGTCTTGTTATGTTGCTCAGGCTGGACCCAAACTTCAGGCCTTAAGCCATCCTCCTGCTTTGGCTTCCCAAGTTGCTGGAATTATGGGAGACTCACTGTGCCCCGCCTGAGCCTCAGTTTCATAAGGCCTAACCCTTGCCCCAGCCTCCAACCACAGCCTGGAAGATCCCAAGGTTTGGGAGGTGGGGCACAAATGCCTGGACACCAGCAGGTTGTGAGGGCTCAAGGTCTGGTGCCCAAAGGGACAGTGACAGGGCCTGGCTGGACCACAGCTGTAGGGTGACTGTCTGGATTTGCCCAGGAATGAGGGATGTGAGGCTTTCATTGCTAGAACAGGGACAGTCTGGGGCCACCCTGCAACAGCTCTGACCCTTCAACAGTGCCGCCTGCTCATTAGATGCTTCTGGACCCAGATGAAGCCTGGGAAGACCAGAGGGTGTTTGTCAACCTGGGCCTGTACACATAGGGAGGTCAGCCTGGGTGTGGCCCCAAAGGTTCACCGAGCAGGGCCCAGGAAGCAGAGCAATCAGGGCTTCAGCCTCATAGTGGCTGGGCAGCCTCGGACCACTTACCTAAAATCACTGAGCCTTCAGCAGAATACAGACTAAAGAAAATCCATTTTTAATGAAATAGAAAATAAAATCATTGAGCCTCCTTTTTGGTCTCTAAAAATGAGGTAATATCCACTTGGCAGGACTGTTGTGAGCATGAAAATGACATAATTCATGAAAAATGAGGTGTCACCTTAAGATTAGGATCAGCTGTGTGTAATGTAACCCTACAATAACAGTGGCTTGAACAAGAGGGTTTGTTTCTCACTCAGGTAAAGGTCTGGTAATAGGGGATCCAGGGGCGGTATGTGGACCCTGCTTTGCTAAATCCTCTGGCATTTTAGGCTCCTGTCAATTCATGGCTCCTCTCTGCCAAGGGTGTGGCTGTTGCCTCCAGTGACCAAGATGGCAGCTGGAGCCCCAGCCATCACATCCATGTTCCAGGCAGCAGATGGAAGAATCAAAAAAGTGCATGTCTGTCTGTCTAAGGGCATTTCCCAGAAGACATACACAACAATGCTGCTTACATTCCATTTACCCCTGGGACCACAGAAAGCTGTGAAATGTGTTCTTTATTCCCAGAGACCATAAACCCAGGCAAAAACCAGGAGTGCTGTTACTAGAGAAGGAGGACATGGATACTGGGGAACTAGCACAAGTGTCAGCCACATCGGCCTAGCATAGTTGCTGACATACATCAGAAGAGTTCAGATAATGTGGCCAGACATGGTGGCTCACGCCTGAGCAGATTACTTGATGCCAGGAGTTTGAGACCAGCCTGGGCAACATGGCAAAACCCATCTCTACCAAAAATACAAAAATTAGCTGGGCACGGTGGCACATGCCTGTAATCCCAGCTGAGGCACGAGAATTGCTTGAACCCAGGAGGTAGAGGTTGCAGTGAGCTGAGATCATGCCAGTGCACGCCAGCCTGGGAGACAGAGTGAGACTCTGTCTCGAAAAAAGAAAAAAAACAGAAGAGGTTCAGGTGTGGTGGCTCACACCTGTAATCCCAGCACTTTGAGAGGAGGAGGCAGGTGGATCACGAGGTCAGGAGTTACAGACCAGCCTGACCATTATGGTGAAACCCCATCTCTACTAAAAATGCAAAAAATTAGTCGGGCATGGTGGTGGACACCTGTATTCTCAGCTATTCGGGAGGCTGAGGCAGGAGAATCAATTGTTTGAACCCTGGGAGGCAGATGTTGCAGTGAGCTGAGATTACACCTCTGCACTGCCTGGGTGACAGTTTGAGACTCCATCTCAAAAAAAAAGAAAGTGCTTCGGGAGGTCAAGGCAGGTGGATCACCTGAGGTCAGGAGTTCGAGACCAGCCTGGCCAACATGGTGAAACTCCATCGCTACTAAAAATACAAAAATTAGCTGGGCATGGTGGTGTGCACCTCTGGTCCCAGCTATTTGGAAGGCTGAGGCAGGAGAATTGCTTAAACCCAGGGGCAGAGGTTGTAGTGAGTGGAGATAATGCCACTGTACTCCAGCCTGGGAAACAGTGTGAGACTGTCTTAAAAAAAAAAAAAGAAAAATAAGAAAGAAAATGTGATTCCTTCTCCCTTTCACATGTGCTGACCTTTTCCCAGCCTGAGAAAGGCAAGGGTCTGGCTCTGAAGCTAGCACAGGGCAGCCTGTGTATCTCTGTGGAGTGTAGGGAGGGGAGAATGGAGCTGGGACTGACTGGGAGGTAAGAGGCAGGGATGTCTTTGGATGGGCCTGGCCAGCCCATCACAATGCCCCAGAGCTTACCATGTGCCACCCCAAATCTGAAGGCCGGTAGTTCTGGGCCTTCAGCCCAGGCAGCTCAGCAAAGGAAGCTCTGGGGTACAAGGAGTCTTTAGGAGCCAGGAGCTGGAGGCAGGAGAGGACCCAGGGAGGGGAGGAGGTTTGGCTGGCATCAGGCAAGGCCGAAAGCCCACCCACGGGCAGTGGTCTTCAGAGTGGGGGGAGCACCAGGGTGGGGCACCTGGAGAGAGTCCAGGCCTTCACTGAAGACTGCCTCGGAGAAAAAGAAAATATCAGAGTCAAACTTATCCTGTTTTATTCTAGAAGAGTGAACAGATGTTGAAAGTAATCTAGGAAAACCAGCCTCTGCCAAAAAGCAGAAATCAAAGCATGACGACAATGAAAAGCAGACAGGGCAGCCCCACCCCGCTCATGTCACGGAGATGGGTTCCTGTTCTCTAACACTGGATGGTGACAGGACCTGCCCCTATGGGCATATTACGGTCCTTGACATGGGGGCATTGTAAGACGGCTCTGAAGAGGTCCTATTAAATGCTACACTCCACACACACACTTTGTTCCACTATGGAACAGGGAGGAGGTGCTTTACCTAAATATGTAAACAGTCCTGGGAATCTGAGACTTCCTAGGCACGCGCCTCCCCCTGAGCCCCTGGGCAGCAGCAAGGAATAAACCCCACGCTGCAGATCCACACCGGCTTGCCTGGCCCACTGCTAGACAAGAAGGAAGAACGGTCTGTGAAGGGGCCTGGGGAGGGGGCTCTCCAGGCTGCCTGACGCTTAATCACATCCACTGACCCCAGGTGCCTGCACATTTCAATGTAGTCATCCCAGACACCCCTCAGCAGTGCTCTCCTCCTGCCTCCTGCCCTCCAATCTTCCAGACCCCTTCCCCACTCTCACAGTGGCTGACGGCCTTGCTTCCTGATTCACTGACAGAGTGGAAGCTATCGGCAATGAACTCCAGAGGCTCCACCACCACCTGGACCAACCTCCCTGCATCTGCCTTCTCCCTAAGGAGAAAAGCACGCGCTCCTCTGAAGGTCGGCCCCTGCTTGTGTGGCTGGATTGCACCCCCCTACGTAGTCGAGGCCCTGGCTGCAGCATCCTTCCATCTCCCCTGCATCCTCCACGGTTCTCTCACCTACACCTCTCCCGTCAGCACACACACACTCTAGCTCATAAAAGCCGTCACTATTGTTCTCTTCATCCCCTTTCCTTCCTTCTCTTTCTGTCAAAACTCCTCAAAAAAAATGGTCTAGGCCAAGCATGGTGGCTCAGGCTTGTAATCCCAGCAGTTTGGGAGGCCGAGATGGGAGGATCACTTGAACCCAGGAGTTTGAGACCAGCCTGAGCAACATGGGGAGACCTCCCCCATCTCTAAACATAATTTTTAAAAGTTTTAGCTGGACATGATGGCATGTGCCTGTGATCCCAAGTACCCGGGGACCTGAGGTGGGGGAATCACCTGAGCCCAGGAGGTTGAGGCTGCAGTGAGCTGATTGTGACACTGCACTTCAGCCTGGGTGACAGCAAGACCCTGTCTCAAGAAAAAAAAAAAAAGAGTGGTCCATATCTCTGTCTCCAATTCCTTCCTCCTGTTCTCTCTCAAGCCCACTTGAACGAGCATCCTACCTTTATCACTCCACTGAAACTCTTGAAGGTCACCAAGACCTCCACATTGCTAAATCCAGTGACCAATCCTCAATCCTGCTCTCCCTCACAGCAGCAGCAGCAGGGGACCTGCCAATGGCCCCTCCTTGGTTTTACTTTCCTCACCTGCCTTCCAGGACACCACACAACTGTGCTCTTCCTCCCACCACCCTGGAGGATCCTCCTGCCCTGATATGGGAGCCCCAGAACTCAGTCCTTGGTCCTCTTTCTTCTCCCAAAACCACCATTTCCTTGACAATCTCATCCAACCTCAAGGCTTTGGATACCTTCTCTGTGCCTGTAACGCCCACATTTCCGGACCTCTCCCAGACTCTAGACTTGTATATCGAGTCGTGGGCCTGACACCTTCACTTGGATGCCTAAGATGTCTGAAAATGACTGTGTCCAATCCTGAATTCTGATCTGCTCCCAAAACCTATTCCTCTCGTCTTCTTCCTCATGTCAGCCAAGGGTGACGCCACCCTTCTGGGTGACCAAGCCAAAACCTGGCTGGGGTCATCCTCGACTCCTCTCTTTCTCTCACAACCGACATTTAGTTCATCAGAAAATCCGGTGGCTCTACCTCCAAAAGACACCCGTGACTACCTGTGACATGGCTCCTGCTGTCACTGTGATTTGAGCCACCATCCCCTCTTCTTGGATTGCGGCATTCTCCCCATCCTTTACCACATCCCCTGGGTCTAACTTCTAAGTCAAACAATGACACCCGCTTACTTAGAACTCTACAGTGACTTCCCGTTTCAACTGAGTAAAAATCAAATTCCTATGCAGGCTCTAGGCTCCCGGTAATTTAATCTCTGTGACCTGGTAGACTCATCTTTTACCTCTCCCAGCCCCACCAGTCACTCCCTCCGTTCCAGCCACATTGTCCTCCTGTTGTCTCCTTCAGGTTTTTACTCAACAGAGACTTCCCTGCCTCCGCTATTTAAATGGCAAGTGCTCTCACTGACACCTCCTGGTCTCCTCTATGAGCCTCTTTCTCTTGCCCATAGCCTGTATTATTTCATCTAATACACTGTGCCTTGTATTTGTTCTGCTTATCATCTACCGCCCTCTATTAGAAAGTAAATTTCATGAAGGCAAAAATTTTCACCGCTGTGTCCCCAGCACTGTACAAAGTAATCGCTTAGTATGCATTTATTTAAAGAAGGAAGACAGGGCCGGGCGTGGTGGCTCATGCCTGTAATCCCAGCACTTTGGGAGGCTGAGGCAGGCAGATCACAAGGCCAGGAGATCAAGACCATCCTGGCTAACACAGTGAAACCTCATATCTACTAAAAATAGAAAAAATTAGCCGGGCGTGGTGGCACGTGCCTGTAGTCCCAGCTACTCAGGAGGCTGAGGGAACAGAATTACTTGCACCTGGGTGGCAGAGGTTTCAGTGATCCGAGATCGCACCACTGCACTCCAGCCTGGCAACAGAGCGAGACTCTGTCTCAAAAAAAAACAGAACAAAAACCAAACAATAACAACACAAACAAAACCAAAACAAAACAAAAGACAGAAGGAAGGAAAGAAAGCACTGAATAGGGAAACCAACTGCTCTTCTGTCCTGGAGGACTGAGCTGCCCAGAGAGGGAGCAGCCCAGCCTTCCAGGACAGAAACAGGAGGTCACAACGATCTTTGCAGATTGCACTGTGTTCCGGGTCCCATGCTGTGTGCTGAGGACGCGGCTGCATGGAAGCAGACACACCAGCTGACATTCACAGAACTGACTGGTAAATGAGTGGACAGAGGCCTTGGGGAGCCCAGACAAGAGCTTGGGGTCCAGGAAGGGCTATTGTGAGGAGTGACACTGAGTCCTGAAGCCATGCCTTGCCACTCTCCCACTGCTGCCCGCTAGTCCCACTGTGACTTTGAGTTAGCAGTGATTCAGAAGAGCGCGGACTTGGGAGTCAGAACCTGGGTTTGCACTTTGGTTTACATGCTAGGTGGCTTTGGGCAAGTCACTTCCTCTAGCCAACCTCAGTTTTCTCATCTGTAAAATGTGCCAGCTTGGCCAGGTGTGGTGGTTCATACCTGTGATCCCAGCACTTTTGGAGGATGAGGTGGGTGGATCACAAGGTCAGGAGATCAAGACCGTCCTAGCCAACATGAAACCCCATCTCTACTAAAAATACAAAAATTAGCTGGTGTCGTGGTGCATGCCTGTAATCCCAGCTACTTGCGAGTGAGGCAAGAGAATCACTTGAACCCAGGAGGCTGAGGTGGCAGTGAGTGGAGATGGTGCCACTGTACTCCAGCCTGGTGACAGAGTGAGACTCCACTTCAAAAAAAAAAAAAAATGTCAGCTGCTGGCCTAGAGCATCTCTTAAATTCCTTCCAACTTGAACATCCATCATGCCATGGAGGTCTGCCACTCAGATCTTCCTGTGAGAGTGTAGAGCAGGAGTGTCATTTGCAACAGACCCTGGCAGCAACACCCTGGGACCTGCTGCCGCTTTCTCCTTGGGCAGCCTTAGCCAGTGACTCAGCCCAGTGGGAGAAGGAGTCCTGGCCTTTTCTGCCCAGCAAATGTCTCCTCTAACTGTTTTTGTTTGTTTGTTTTTGAGCCGGAGTCTCACTCTGTTGCCCAGGCTGGAGTACAATGGCACAATCTCAGCTCACTCAGCTCCCTGCAACCTCTGCCTCCCAGGCTCAAGTGATCCTCCTGCCTCAGCCTCCCGAGTAGCTGGGACTACAGGTGTGAGCCACCACACCCTGCCGCTAACAGCTAATTTGTGCTCTGGGCCTCCTCACTGGGCTGGCTGAGACTTTCGTGGAGCTGCGGTGCAGTCTGAGGCTCTTTCTACATAATCCTTCCTTCCCTTTCTCCTTTCCCAGATGGCAGGCCCGCCTCATGGTCAGAGGGAGGCTTCCTGGAGGAGGAGACACTGGAACTGTGTCTTCCAGGTTGACTTGGGTGTAGAGGGCCCAGTATCAAGGGAGTGCTGTGCTCGGACCTGAATTAAATAGTGGGAAGCAAATAGGAGAGGGCAAGAGAGGAGGCAGGGAGAGCACAGAGGAGGCTGACATGATGGGCCCTGGCCTTGGAAGTGATTACAGGAGCCACAGGGTCAAGGCGTGGATGGAAAATGTTTAGATGTTCAGGAGATAGAAACCCCGGAGTTGGGGGCCTGGACACTCCAGTAGCTTTATTTATTTATTTATATATTTAGGAGTCTCACTCCATCACACAGGCTCCAGTGCAGTGGTGCAATCTCAGCTCACTGCAACCTCTGCCTCCTGGTTCTCATACCTCAGCCTGTGGAGTAGCTGGAATTACAGGTATGTGCCACCAGACCCAGCTAATTTTCGTATTTTTAGTAGAGACAGGGTTTCACCATGTTGGCCAGACTGGTCTCAAACTGCTGAACTCAAGTGATCTGCCGGCCTTGACCTCCCACATAACCAAGTGTAGTGGGCCACATTACTCCTCAGCTCTTCCTTCCGCCACTGCCATGTCCATGGGGGGAGGGGGAGTGTACTTCCTTGCCCTGCTGAGATTGGAACTGGTTTTGTGGCTTGCTTTAGCCAACGGAACATGGGCAAAAAGAGATAGTATAACTGCTGAGCACAGGCCTTAAGAGGCGTGG